ACCTCGTACTTGATTGTTTAAAGCTGTCTAGCAAGTAGCGATGGGGTTAAATAGTTTTGTGGATAGAAATGAACACAGAGTTCCTTCTCCTGGGTCTTTAATGTGGGGTTTAAGTTAATCATTATGAGGGTGAGTTTGTGATTTATCGTTGCTCTGGTTACCCTCAATGCCCCACAGGTTTCAAATCCTGTAATGATATCTCATGTTTTGTGTTTCATGGTTTTTGTTTGTTTGTTTGCCAGAGACACGTCTTCTTGACCTGAGTGTTTTAGTTCCCCTCTGCACCATGCCTCAGAGAAGATCTCTCTGCACATTCTTCTTCCTCCCCTGTCCCTCTCCCAACAGCGTTCTTCTTGACTTCCTATCTGAAACTTGTTAGCATGACAGTGAAAGGCAGCTGAGGCGGTGGTCTTGCTTGTTCTGATCATGCCTCAGTGTTAGGCAGCCTCCCATCCTTGCGTCTTCTCCATGTTTTCTCCCTTCTGCCTCCCCTACCCTGACTGTAGCTGTGGTCCCATCGTGTATTCGTGCCTCTCCCACAAGAGTGTCTTTTGTCCCCAATCCTCTCTTGCACCTGCAGTGATGTTCCACCAGTTCCCTAAGGGCACCTGTCCTTCTCACCAACGCGCACATGAAAGCTGTTGCTGCGTAGTGCAGAAAGCAGACAAGGGACAAGGATCTAGGTGGGATTCTTTGCCACTGCTGCATCATTGCTGTTTTCTTCTCCCAGGCCTGCCCCACAATGGACACTTTCTCATGGTTCTTTCCAATCTGGAGCACCAGTGGCATTTCCAGAAAAAAAAATAGCCTTCAACAGACTGTAGAATTCCCCAATTTCTGCAGAGCTCAGAAGAACTGTTTTGCCCACTTACACTCAGACTTAACTCATTTTTCAATTACTCTGACAGAACCCTTCTTTCTGATGTCTGGTGTCTGATTTGTGTGTCCCAAGTAAGTGGGGATGTGTCTTCTCTCTCCCACAGGTACCTGTTTCAACATAGATTTTGGCTCTGCAAACTTAACTCTCCAATGGATTTGAAACAAGGTGGCAATTTAAAGTTAACGCGGATCTTTCTCATTTGAAGGTTGTAGTAACATTTCTTCAAGATCTTTGCATCATGGAATGAAAGCTTTGCACCTCCTTTTTCTTTTTCTGTTTTTGTTGTTGTTTAAATACCTCTTTTTCTCACTCTCCTTCTTCTTTCCCTTCCTCCCCCTCTTTCTCCTTCCTCTTTCTACTTTCTTTTCTTTCTTTCTTTTTTGCCATATCATGACACATGGGAATTCTAGGACTAATAATTCTCTTTTTTTCACTTTATTCTTAACTTACTTGAGAGCTGGAAAAGTATTTGCTAGAAAATTATTCTCTGTTTCTTGGAGTAATTATTCTTCTATAATATATGTTTTATCTGACTTTTACTTGTCTTTTTTGGAAAAGTTTGGAAACAGAAATATGTATCCATAAATCCTATGCTGATTCCTTTCAGGTTCTTATTTATCCATGAAAGAGAATGATTACATCTAGCCCATTCATTTGCTTGGGAAAAATGTGAGAGAGGTAATCTAAACAGGAAGAGGAAAGTTTCTAAACAAACTGAGGGTTGCTGGAGGGGAGGTGGGTGGGGGGATGGATAACTGGGTGGTGGGCATTAAGGAGGGCACTTGATGTAATGAGCACTGGGTGTTATATGCAACTGATAAATCACTAAAGTCTATCCCTGAAAGTAATAATATACTGTATGTTGACTTAATTGAATTGAAATAAAAAAATTTTTAAAAATATTCTCTTAGTCTACTGGTCTCCCTAGTCTGGTTTATCAATTGCCTAGAAGACATGTCTTTTCTTCATTTCAGCATCCTTCCCTTTGATGGTGAGCAGGAAATAGGTGAGTTTCTGAGTGAAATCTTTTATTGCACGATTTCTCCATGCAGTGATTATCCCTTTCAGAGCATTCTCATGAGAGGCTTTCCAGTTGATACCTGCTTCCCCTTTCTTGTCTTAAAATTGACCTCTTAGAGATGAAAACAGATCTCTTCAGCTCTTAACCTATCCTGGATTTGGATCATATTTGAATCAATTTGAACTGCATCTGATAGTCTTACAGTTTGAGATTTGGGGTTACACTGGTTACAGCAAGAAGTTTACTTCTGTTTTTGTTTTTCTTGTTGTGGTGGATTCCTGTGAAACTCAGAAGACTTTTTTCTCTTCAGAAGTTTCAACAGCTGTGTTTTTCCCCCAGATGGCTATGGCTCAACCAGGGTTGTAAAATACTGCTGGTCATTGGGTTTTCAGAAATGGAACCTTTGACATAACTTGTCATTCCAATATACTAATCCTCATGCTGAATACCCTTATTTGATACTTGCAAATTAACATCTATATTGGCTTTATTAATTAAAGGTTTAGTGTCCAACATTCATGTAGTAAAATATCAATTTAAATTAAACCAGAGTTAGTGAAGTATTCTGCTCAAGGGAGAATGAAATGTTAATGAGGACTATTCTGTATTTCCTTTCTTTCAATATCATCTTAATTTTAGCTACCATGGTATCTGACTGTAGCCTTCAGGAACATTGCAATAAACATGAGTGATGAGGTAAGATATTAAGAGTCTTACATTCTAGTAAACAGTGGGGATCCCTTATGGAGAAGAACTTAGGTGTACAATACCAAATGAATTCATCCAATCCATAGAGCCCCCCCAAAAAGCCCAAAATAATCCTGTAGTTCAGTGATTCATTCAACCAACATTTGTGTAGTTAATAACAATGAAGTTTAAAATTTATTTCATAGAAGTTTTCAAATATGTGGGACACTGGATGGCTCAGTCAGTTAAGCATCTGCCTTTGGCTCAGGTAATGATCCCAGGGTCCTGGGATCGAGTCCTGCATGGGGTTCCTTGCTGAGTGCGGAGCTTGCTTCTCCCTCTGCCTGCTCTGCCTATCTGCCTGCCATTCCCTCTGCTTGTGCTCTCTCTCTGACAAATAAATAAATCAATAATCTTAAAAAAAAAGAAATTTTCAAATATGTAGCGCAACAACTGCATTGAAAATGTGAAGGATGCTATAATCTCTAAGTTAGATATCTCACCATATCAGTGAAGTCTTGAATCACCATGAGATGTGAATTTTTCATGGCACAGTCATTTTTGCTTTCATCCCAAGATTTCTTATCTTCACCAATCCAGTAACATTTTCCCCCATGTAGCTTCCAGTCTTTAGAGGGGCATGATTTATGAACAGTGGAAAAATTGAAAGAAACTGGAAGGAAAAAGGAAATAATTAAAAGAAACTCAGAACTATATCCCTAATAGCATATACTGATGAAAGCCTCTCAAAATTTGTTAAGTTATGGTCTAAAGCTTTTTTTTTTTTTGGTTTTGTTTATCTGTTTGAGAGAGAGAGAGAGTGAGTGAGAGAGAGAGAGAGCACAAGCAGGGGCAAAAAGGAAGAAGCAGACTGCCCCGCTGAGCAGGGAGCCTGACACGGGGCTGGATCCCAGGACCCCGGGATCACAACCTGAGCTGAAGGCAGGTGCTTAACCAACTGAACCACTCAGGCACCCTTGTCTAAAGCTTTTTTTGACAAAAGTATGTGGTTTTCTCAAGGTGGATTTGGAAAAAATAAAGATTAACAGACTTGCAACCATGCATATATTCATTCTTTCTTCCTTTCTTTCTCTGTTTAAATTATTCACTTAAAAATATATCATGTTCTGGAACACTACATCAAAAACTAACGATGTAATGTACGGTGATTAACATAACATAATAAAAAAATATATCATGTTCTCTATCAGCAAAACAATGTACCAGGCACTAAGATCAATCAGTGAACATCCAAGTTTCAGGGAGATAAAAATTTTAAAGGAAAAGTAGAAATTAGAGATTTTAATTAGTGATCCACCAATGAACCAGACATTTTGGGAGTTATATATCACACTGGAATAATTTTTCTTTGGCAAAAATTGTGCAATATGTGGCCCCCAAAACTCAAGAAAGATTGATCCTTCCATACAAAAAAGGATCTTGACATCCAGAAATGTGCTTGTAATAGGTAGTTTTTAATTCATAGTATTTGCCAGTAGATTTAAATGATGACACATAGGCATCCTGTATATACCAAAACTTTACTGCCCCTCAAATAAATATCCTTTAAAAACACACACATACGTAGTCACACACAATGACCTGAAGCCACTGAATCGTGAACAAAAGCAGGCAGATTTTGGAGGGGAAGTGACATTTGAAATAGGGGTAACAAGGCAAAAGTTTCTCATTTTTACACATTTTAGCTTAAGATAGACCAATGTTGGATGCCATGTAGAGTGAATAAAACTTCAGTAGCCAATCTGCAGTCTTTCTAGCCTAAAATACTGGAGAACAAGTTTGGGACAACCAAAGATGCTAAAAATGAAGGGTGAATCCCTTAAATGAGAAAACATAAAGGATGTGCACCAAGTTCTATGGCTAAAATTTTTCCAAGTTCCTGGCTGATGGATGTGAAAGTTACATTCCAGCTAAGGATTAAAGAACTGATTTGAGATTAGAGCTGCTGCCCAAAAGATAGAAATTAAAATTTGAGTCCAACTATACCAAGTTCCTGCTTAAATAGGAAAAATCAACATTTTTTTGGAGAAATACATCAGAATCCATAGATTTCTTAGCATCACTTTCACAATGTCCAGGGCACAATCTCCAATCACTTAACGTAAGAAAAACCAGGAAAATATGACCAATTCAAAAGAGAAGGGATTCAATGCAGCCTTATAGGAAATGATGCAGATATTAGAATTATCCCCAAATATTCTAAAGCAGCTGTTTAACTATGCTCAAGTACATAAAAGGAAATAGGCTTGCAATTAAAAGATACTTCCAAGAAATAGAGAATTCTGAATTTCATTAAGAAATGAAATTTATAATTGAGAGATATGTGATATGAAAATTCCGTTAGATTGCCTTAAAAGCAGATAATGAGAAGAAAAAGTGGTTAGCGAACTTGAAATTGTCCAATATAAAAAACAGGGAAAAGGAGGCGGAGCAAGATGGCGGAGGAGCAGGAGACCTGGATTTCTTCTGGTCTCAGGAATTCAGCTGAATGGGGATCAAACCATTCTGAACACCTACAAACTCAACAGGAGATTGAAGAAGAGAGTAGCAACAACTCTCTGAACAGAGAAGCGACCACTTACTGGAAGGTAGGGTGTGCGGAGAAGTGAATCCGAGGCGATATTCGGGAGGATAGACGGCGGGGGAGGGGCCTCCGTCCGCCGCTTCTGGCAAGTGATAGAGCCGCGGAGCACAAAATTGGAACTTTTAGAAGCCGGCTCCGCTGAGGGACGTCGCTCCAGTGCCTAAGCAGGGGGTGGAAACCTCGCGGGACAGTGTGGTCTCAGGACCCTCGGGGTCACAGAAACACCGGGGGTGCCTGAGTGCAGCAGAGCTCCCAGGTATCGGAGCGGGGAAGCCGGCTGCAGAGACGGAGCCGAGGCGCGGGCTCTCAGCTCGGGGTTGCCATAAACTGTGATCCGCGGCCCAGTCGGGGCACGGCTCCTCCAGCAGGGACCCAACAAGCAGCAGAGCTGGGGAGACTCCCTTTCCTCCCCCCCGGGAGGAGCAGCATGGGAGCGCACCTCGGGGATCTGCTGGGTTTGGAGACTCCACACGGGGTCGGGTGCCAGAGATAGAAATGCTTGGTCACAGGCCGAGTGAGCATGGAGTGCGGTGGGAGACCAGGGAGACAGGAGTGATTGACTGCTTTTTTCTGGGGGCGCACTGAGGAGCGGGGCCCCGAGTTCTCGGCTCCTCCTGGCGGAGATCGGGAGGCCACCATTTTCACTCTCATCCTCCAAAGCTGTGCCGAGAGCTTGCAGGGAACTAAAGCTCCTGAGAGCAAACCCGAGCAGATTACTTAGCCCGGACCGGCAAGGGCGGGGCAATTCCGCCTCCGTCAAAGACATTTGGGAACCACGGCAACAGGCCCCTCCCCCAGAAGATCAGCACGACAAGCCAGCGAAGACCAAGTTTACCGATCAAGGAGAACGGCAGAACTCCAGCGCTAGGGGAATACTGCACATCGAATTCATGGCTTTTTTTTACCATGATTCATTAGTTTTTCAAAGTTAATTCCTTTTAACTGTTTTTTTTTCTTGAATTTTTCTTTTCCCCTTTTTCAACCAACATCTTATCAATCCCTTTTTTAAAAAAAATTTTTAGTTTTCATTTTTAGAGTCATAGTCTATCCCTTCATAGTAGTTACCCTTATTTTGGCAAATATATATAAGTTGTTCTCTCTTTAAAATTTTGAGACACAGTTTTTCTAAGAGATCAAAATATACCCTAAATCTCTAGTGTATGGCTTTGTTCTAGTCTCCTGCCTGATCACATTCTCTCCCCTTTTTTTTTTTTAAATCTTCTTTCTTTTTTCAAACAACTTCTTATCAATTCCTTTTATAAAATCTTTTATAATTTTCATCTTTACAGTCATCTTCTATCCCTTTATTGTATCAACCCTTATTTTGCACATATATAAGTCTTTCTTTCTTTACAATTTTAGGAGGCACTATCTTCTAACAGACCAAAATACACCCAAAATCTAGTGTGTGGCACTGATCTATGCACTAGCGTGATCATATTTGATCATATTCTGTTTTTTTTTTGTTTTGTATTGTTCTGTTTTTGTTTGTTTTTATCTTTATCTTTTTTTTTCTTTCTTTCTCTTTTCTTTCTTTCCCTTTCTTTTCCCCTGGTTTCAGGTCTTTTCTGATTTGTTTAAAGTATATTTTCTGGGGACATTTTTAACCTGTTAGCATTTTGTTCTCTCATTCATCTATTCTCCTCTAGACAAAATGACAAGACGAAAGAAATCACCTCAGCAAAAAGAACAAGAGGTAGTACCATCAGCCAGGGACCTACTCAGTATGGACATTAGTACGATGTCGGACCTAGAGTTCAGAATCGTGATTTTAAAGATACTAGCTGGGCTTGAAAAAGGCATGGAAGTTATTAGAGAAACGCTTTCTGGAAAATTAAAAGAACTAAAATCTAACCAAATCGAAATAAAAAAGGCTATTAATGAGGTGCAATAAAAAATGGGGGCACTAACTGCTAGGATAAATGAGGCAGAAGAGAGAATTAGTGATATAGAAGACCAAATGATGGAAAATAAAGAAGCTGAGAAAAAGAGACAAACAACTACTGGATGACGAGGGCAGAATTTGAGAGATAAGCAATACCATAAGAAGCAACAACATTAGAATAATTGGGATCCCAGAAGAAGAAGAAAGAGAGAGAGAGGGGCAGAAGGTATCTTGGAGCAAATTATAGCAGAGAACTTCCCTAATGTGGGGAAGGAAACAGGCATCAAAATCCAGGAGGCACAGAGAACCCCTCTCAAAATCAATAAAAATAGGTCAACACCCCAACATCTAATAGTAAAATTTACGAGTCTCAGAGACAAAGAGAAAATCTTGAAAGCAGCTTGGGAGAAGAGATATGTAACCTATACAGGTAGAAATATTAGATTGGCAACAGACCTATCCACAGAGACCTGGCAGGCCAGAAAGGACTGGCATGATATATTCAGAGCACTATCGAGAAAAATATGCAGCCAAGAAAACTATATCCAGCTAGGCTGTCATTGAAAATTGAAGGAGAGATAAAAATCTTCCAGGACAAAAAAAACTAAAGGAATTTGCAAACACGAAAGCAGCTCTCCAAGAAATATTGAAAGGGGTCCTCTAAGCAAAGAGAGAGCCTAAAAGCAGCATAGACCAGAAAGGAACACAGACAATATACAGTAACAGTCCCCTTACAGGCACTACGTTGGCTCTAAATTCCTATCTTTCGATAGTTACCCTGAATGTAAATGGGCTAAATGCCCCAATCAAAAGACACAGGCTATCAGATTGGATTAAAAAATAAGACCCATTGATTTGCTGTCTGCAAGAGACTCATTTTAGACCCAAAGACACCCCAAGATTGAAAGTGAGGGGATGGAAAACCATTTACCAATCTAATGGACACCGAAAGAAAGCTGGGGTGGCAATCCTTATATCAAGAAATTAGATTTTAAACCAAAGACTGTAATAAGAGATGAGGAAGGACACTATATCTTACTTGAAGGGTCTATCCAACAAGAAGATCTAACAATTGTAAATATCTATGCCCCTAACATGGGAGCAGTCAATTATATAAAGCAATTAATAACAAAAGCAAAGAAGCACATTGACAACAATACTATTATAGTGGGGGGACTTTAAC